TTCCGCATATAAGTGAGATCATATGTTATTTGTCTTTCGCAGCCTTACTTATTTCACTTAGAAAACACCCTCTAGGTCCATCCATGTTGTTGCAAATGGTAAGATTTCATTCTTTTTTATGGCAGAGTAATAGTCTATTAATGTTGTATGTATGTACCACAATTACTTTATCCAATCATCTATTGGTGGCCATTTCAGTTGTTTCCATATCTTGGCTATTGTAAATAGCACTGCAGTGAACTTACGGGTGCATATATTTTTTTGAATTCGTGTTTTGGATTTTTTTGGATAAACACCCAGGAGTGGAATTCTGGGTCACAAAGTAGGTACTAGACCTATTGGGGAATCACTTCATACAATATATAAATGTGCAATCGCTATGCTATACACCTGAAACTAATATAAAATAATATTGAATGTCAACTATAACATAAAAATAGTCATGGGGATATAAAGTACAGCATAGGGAATACAGTCAATAATATTTTAATAACTATGTACAGTATCAGATAATAGACTTATTGGGATTATCACTTTGTGAGCTATATAAATGTCTAATTACTATGTTGTTTTATACACCTGAAACTCATACAAAAAGGAAAGAAAAATTCCCAAGGTGATAAGGAAGGCTCATTGTGCCATAACTATTAATAGAAACAATAGAGTTTATGCTGAGCACCTGTTTACTTTTTGCAGTCTGGATTTTAATGACTGAAATTGTGCGTACATGACCAACCTCCAATAAAAACCCTGGATGCCTAGGCTCAGATAAGCTTCCCTGGCAGACAACATCTTATTCTGGTTGTTACTGCTGAAGAAATTAAGCTTGTCCCGTGTGACTTCACCAGAAGAGGACTCTTAGAAGCTTGTTTCCTCCACTCTGATTCATGAGCCTTTTCTCTTTGCTGATTGTGCTATGTATCCTTTCACTGTAATAAATCTTGAACTGTGAGTACAACTATATGCTAAGTCCCATCAGTCCTTCTAGCAAATCACCAAACTTGGGGTGGTCTTAGAGACCCTCAACACAATTATACACATATTTCCTTTCTTCCTTTTATTTCTTTAGAGACATTATCTGTTTAAAGCTAAAATTATAAGGTTATAATTGTGAGGTTTATAATATATACTACATCAACAGCAAAAGGACCAGGGTGTAAATGAAACTATTCTGTTGAAAAGTTTCTATATTTAACATGTGTATTAACTTTAAGTAGACATCATAAATACAAGGTACGTATTGTAATCACTAGCGCAAACACTCAAAAATATATTGCATTTTATTATAGGTTAATTACACCTCAATTTAAAAAATAAAGCAAAGAGATATGGCTAAAAAGTCAAGTGAGGAATCAAAATAGAATACTAAAGGAAGAACACAGGACACAGGAAACGAACAAAAAGTCAAGTGAAACGAAGAAAAAGCAAATAGCTAAATCGCAAACCCAAGTCCGACCATGTCAATAATCACATTAAATGGAAACATTAAGTGTAAATGGGCTGAACTTTTCCATTAAAAGACAGAGATTGTCAGACTAGATAACAGAGCAAGAGCCAACTATTTGCTATCTACAAGAAACCCATTTTAGCTACAAAAACAGAGAGAGGTTGCAAATATAAGAATGGAAAAAGATATATCATATAAAGATTAATTAAAAGAAAGTCAGAGTGGCTATATTAGTTTTAGACAAAGTATATTTTGAAACAAAGAATGTTACCAAGGAAAAAGAGGACAGTATATAATGCTAAATGGATCAATACACCAAGAAAACGTAACAATCTAAAATGTGTAAATACTGAACAGTAGAGCTTTAAAATACATGAAGCCAAAATGGAAAGTAGACATATCCACAATTATAGTTGGAGGCTTCAAGGCTCCTATCTCATAATTGATACAAACAGACAGAAAATCCATAAGGCTATTGAGGACCTGAGCAGCAGTACAAATTAACTTGACCTGACATTTTTTTAATTAANCATCAGGGAAATGCAAATTGAAACGAGATATCACTATACACAAAGTGGTCAAAATCTGGAACACAAGACAACACCAAATGCTGCCAAGGATGTGGAGCAACAGGAACTCTCATTCACTGCTGGTGGGAATGCAAAATGGCACAGCCACTTTGGAAGACAGTGTGGTAGTTTCTTACAAAACTAAACATACTCTTACCAGTAACCCAATAATTGTGCACCTTGGTATTTACTCAAATGAGTTAAAAACATGTTCACACAAAAACCTGTACATGGCTGTTTATAGCAGCTTTATTCATAATTGCTACAACTTAGAGGCAGCTGAGATGTCCTTCAGTATGTAAATGGATAAATAAACTGGTACATCTAGGCAATGGAATATTATTCAGAGCTAAAAAGATGCTCATCAAACCATGAAAAGACATATGTAAAGTTAAATGCATATTACTAAGTGAAAGAAACAAATCTAAAGAAGGTACATACAAGTACTATAGATTCCAACTATATGACAGTTTTAAAAGGTAAAACTATGGACACAGTAAAAAGATCAGTGTTTACAAGTGTTAGAGGATGGGGGAGGGGATGAACAGGCAGAGCACAGATTTTTAGGGCAGTGAAAATACCCTGTATGATACTATAATGATGGCTACATGTCATTATACATTTGTCCAAACCCATAGATGTACAACACCAAGAGTGAACCCTAATGTAAACTATGGATTTTTGATAATTATGATGTATGTGTCAATGTCGGTTGATCTGAAATTGTAACGTAAGTACCACTCTGGCTAGTATGTTGATAATGGGGGAGTCTATGCATGTGAGGAGGTACAGTGTATTTGGGAAATCTCTCTACTTTTTCATTTTTGTGGTGAACCTAAAACCGCTCTAAAAAGTCTTTAATGAGAGAGAGAGAGAGAGAGAGAGAGAGAGAGAGAGAGAGAGAGGAGACCAGAAGACAATGGAACAAATAGTTAAAGTGCTAAAAGAAAGATGTTCAACACGGAAGTCTATATCCAATGAAATGATCCTTCAAAAACGAAGAGGAAATAAAAATATTTCGGATAAANTCAGCACACTCCCCAGTACAGTATCTATGGGGATCATTTTCTTTCCGTAGGTATTGGTTTGTTGCACATTGTCTTCAGTTAATTTGCACATCAAAGTTTAATTACAAAAAAAAATAGAAAGAATAGTTCACAGCAGTCAAAGACATTGTACAAAACTAGTAGCTGCTATATTAGTTAATTAATTTACTATTTTAGTTAAAAAAGTGGACTAAGAAAGAATTTTGGTTTCATGAGAAATTCTCTGATCTGGGTTTTCAAACACCCAAATATTTCATAAAGCTGGTACTGTAGACAAATAAATAAGGGAGAAAGGGGAGGTAGGAAACAGGGGACAATTACACCCTAGGCAAAGATCCAGTAGGTCACCTAATAATGGAAAATCAGGGAAAAAGGGATTACCCAAAAGGTGCTTTTATCTTCTTTTAAAATAACTTGCACTTTGGTCTCTAAGAAAAGTATAATAAAATATCCTAGTATACATTTCATAACTTGCCATACTGGTAGCAGAATGGAGAGGGCAGAGTACTAAATGACTGAAGAACATGATCTGTGTTTAATGTGACATACCTGCTAAGTAAGATAGTGCCCGCAGGTCTACGGACCTGAAAAGTCTTCTCTAAATAAGAAATAGCTTGTGGAAAAAGTTTGTTCTAAATAAAAGGTGAAAAAGAAAACCAGTCAAAATTATAGTCAAAGTATGAATTATATATATATAAAACAAGTAAGCATAGGCTACTAATGACTGTGGGGAAAAAAGGGAAAGCCTTACAATTCTGGAATACAGATATAATTAGTCCAAGTTGTGTGGCAAGGGGGAGGGGGGAGAATAAGTCTAGGAGCAAAGGAATTTCCTCGTTTTCTAGTTGAGTTTGAGGAAAGAACACTAGATGGAAACTTCCTTCCCTACCTCTATTTAAATAGCATGTTAGAAAACATACATCTCAACTACTAATCTAAATTACTTCAAATTGGAGACTGATTTAGTTGATTCCGACATTAAGGTAGTTTATGTTAAGAAAACTTATGTTTACAGGATTTACTTTAACCTCACTTATTTCTGTGGACCATAATGAATTGGCTTAATGTATGTGTGACTCTGTAATAGTTAAAAAAAACTGATGAAGTCAGTACTTCTATGAACAGTTTTGGCATATCATACTATAAAGATAATTAGTCTTCAGGAGAATAAGCATCTCCACCAAGAGAATGGTGTTCTTAAAGTATTTCAAATATCATCTTTTTTACCCTGTCTTCAGCATGTTCTGCTCTCCCCAAACTTAAGAGAACAAGTAAGAAAATGAGAAAACTAATTTCATATCAAATATGGACAAAGTTTTGGTGAGTGCATCACAAAGACAACTTTGGTGAAAATGATAAACACATTGATCAATTCAGTACCAACACTTTTTATTCAGTAATTCGCAAACCAGTCATGTATATATTTTTCTTTACTGAAGTACAATAAAATGCACCCATTTTAAATTAAGTATCCAATTCAAGCCACGAGTATTTATTACATACCTTTACAAGGTATCTTTTCTCAGGGAGCAACCTGAAAATGATGACATAAACATGAGAATTGCCATGCTGGGGCAGAGCACTGTCTCATTTGTTCAGAATATAGCTGGCAGGAGCCCCAAAGAATGCTTTGTGGAAGCATACAATATCAATCCCCTAAAAGCTCAATTTACCTCAGTGAGCATTTGAGAGTTTACTCTGTATCAAAGTACAACACTAGACATTATCATGTTATCTCATTCATTTGAGAAGTTAAGGTTAAGAAAAGACATCAACTACTCTTAATAGCTC